CTGCTTTATCTCATAGCATGCAGAATTTGGAAGGTAATGTCTTCCAAGAGTTTTCTGTCATCCAAACTATCCCTGTGTCACAGAGATGCTGTGTGAAGCTACATAAGTCATTTAAGCTAAAATATTAATGCGACAACTAATTTTGTTTTTCATTGAATATGTCTACCCAACTTTATCTTGATTTTCAGATTTTTGGAGCCTTAGGGAAGTACTGTACCTTTTGAATGGTGTTCAGGGAACTGAGAGTGCTCAACATCATTTGCAATAAATCACTCTGTTCTGAAGGACTGAGCCTCAGGTTGGGACTCTCCACAGCCCTGAGTTTTGGACCTCAGGCTACCACTCAGACTTAAAGTGATCTTCCAGTCTATCAGGTGAGCTGTGGTATTTTTCTATATGTTTTTAGTTTATGTCAAATATGACTAATTAGATCACCTCAGTCTGCAAAAAACAGGATTATTTTAAACTAGTTCTCCTTATGTTTGCCATTGGAAAAGAGCTCATACAGAGATACCTGTGGTGCATGTTACTTTGAGACAGGATAATGCATCTAAGTTCTTACACTCTTTTTCTGTCATAGAGATATATAATCTTTAATAATCTTTCTCACAGAAGTAACATAATAATAAGTAAACTATATTTGTGCAGTATGTTGAACATACAAATAATTTTTTAAAAAGCCAAATATTTGAAGAAATCATCTCCACTTGTTATGAGTTAGCTCATTGAGAAGGTCATGTTAAAACCAGATTTTGCAGATTCTGGGTTTTTTTGATCTGTTCTCCACTTGTTGATCTATGAAAATATTGATATCTTCACTGCACTACTGTGAACATACATTTATTAATGTTTATAGGGTTCATTTACTGTAACACTGTTGCAACAAACTATGGACAATGAAAATCTGTAAGACATTAAATAAATCTACACCAGCAACTATTTGGATGAAAAAGAGTAAACAAAAAAGAGTCAGACCACTAGAGTGTAAGACACATACAAATATTTAATTCAGTCTTGTATCCAGAATGAGTTAGGTCTTGTGGAGAGAAGGGTAGGAAGGCATCCTGTAATTAAAGTCTGTGTCCTCCTGTATATACTAAAGAAAATAATCTAATTATATTGAAAATTATAAATCTAGCATTTCCTAAATCTTCCTCACTAAATACTGAGTTGTATTTTTCTAAAGTAAGTTTATATAGAGACATAATGTCATACAAAAATACAATTACTGAATTTAGTTATTAGAAATCAGCTTGTTTCTTCAGCAAACAGCTTGTGAAACAAAAGACCATTGTAAGCCTTTGTTCATGGTAGATAGTGACATCTAGAAGGTTTCAGCTGAGTAACAAAAGTAATATCAATAGCTAATGTGGAGTCACACTGCAGCTGTACACACCTTCACTTCCCATACCTCAGGGACCTCCACAATCCTTCCCTTGCTCCTCCTGACTGCACACCAGAAAGCAGACCTGAACCTTAGTCTGCACTGCAGAGCAGCATGAAGCCCTCATGTAGAACCCCATTCCCTGTCATCATGTGTTCTGAAAGTGGTGACACTTTTTTTGCCCCCACTGTTTTTGGATTTGCTCTTGCAAGTGGTGATATTTTAAACTATGCCCTGCTTTAGATGTAGATTTTTGTCTGCAGAGAAAGAGCTAAAAAAATGCAGCCAAAAGCTATTAAAGCCTAACACGATTCTAGACTTGAGGAAAAAAAATCAGTGTATTTTTCAAGATTTCTTCTCCTAGCTAGAGCTGGAAATAAACCCTAGGTGACAGTATTCACACTCCAGTTGTAAGTAGGCTGTGAGTGAGATAAGAAACAGGTGAGAATATGCAGGTTTCTTAAGGGTTTACTTAGATTATAGTTAAATCTGTTAACACTTTGTAAATAGTAATCTAGGGCTCTTAGAAATGTTTTTATTTATTATTATTTGTGCTTTGCACATGGCAAATGGAACAAGAAGGGGGAAGCTGTTTGCTCTGTATCACACAGAATGCTGTTCATCAGAACTAAAATACCTTTACTTATAGCCCAAACTCCTAGCAATTGGACTAAGTTTCCTAAGATGGCTTCCAGTTAAGACTTGGAAATAGGTGATCATTTTCACTCTTTGCCTAAAGACAATAACTTAGTATTCTTGGAAACTTGAGAGTAGTGATTCTTTTTCAGTTGGTAACTACAGGTTTTAATAAGTGATAAAGTGTTCCAGGAAGTTGGAAGACCCTACTAGGTTTCTAGAAGTTTAACAAAAATCTATAGAGGAAGAAAGGGAAGTCTTGATTTTTCCACGTCCTGAGCAAGCCAGGACTTATAGCAAAATACCAAGGTTCATCTGCTTCCGTGACTTCCTTGCGTTTTCTGATTTTCTTGTTTTTCAGCTGTATATGTATATACGTGCACACGCGTGTGTGTGTATATATGTGTATACATATATGCACATATACTCAATTCTGGTCCAAAGGACAATTTAGCCCCTTTTCAGATATATGTCAAACAAACCAAACGGGATGAAACTCCCTGTTTATAAAATGTGACTAAATACCTAGTGTAGACTATGTAGCTGTCTTTTAGGTAACTGAGATTGGGCGAAGTTAATCGCAACCTTAATAATTAAGCTTCTAAGGGACAAAAGTTTTAAATTTCAGTTGAGAGAACTACTTTCATTAAAAGCTACAGATTGTGTGTATCATGTCATATCATATAATTAATTAAATTGTGTTAAAGCTGAAAGAACACAAGGCTTGACACATATGCTAGTCTTTGGAGTTTGAGATAAGCCTGTTCTGTGCCCAGTGCTCTGTTGTGGAGCAAGAAGTTGAAAAGTGGGCATAGAGAAGCACAGCCCAATGCACAAGAGCCTTGCACAGACCATTCAAGGCTTCACTTCAAGAAGTGGGTTTTCTGTACATCTGTAACCTTTGCTAATTCTTTCCTCCACTGGCTTTGTTGTTGAATTGTTTGTTTAGTAAAATATTTGTTTAGGAGAAGGCACTTCTGTTGATAACCTTCAACATTTTCAAAAGGTAGATCAGACACTTCCATCTGTATTTGAGCACTGAAGACATACTTTTGTTTTCAGAAGCACTGACAGCCTTCAGGTTTCACTAGCCTTAACTTCAGGTTCTCAAAAATCAGGAGTCGTCACTGGCATGCAAGATCTATATGTCCTGACCCAAAACATATTTTTTGTACTTCTCCTCTTGCATCTTTATACAGATGGATAAAGATATGTAAAGATATATCATTATACTGTGGAAATGAATATATTATAGATTTTGAGACAGCCAGCTGGTATGAATGAAAGCCAGAGAACTACTGAAGATGCATATATTACACTAATGTTTTACTAATATCTGGAATTGCAGCTGAAGTGAGCCTCCTTTATTTTCCTAAAAGCATCCCTAAAGACTGGGATATGTTGCTGTACTCTTACACTATAATGAGGATCTCCGAAATCAGGTAAGTAAATGAGGAGATAAATTATGTAAGTATATGCATTTTTTCTCAAGATAGATAAGATTAAATGTAGGAGGATACTCAGCCTGAAGCTAATAGACATAAGACACTGTGAACCATACTAGTAATAAAGATATTAGGGTGCCAGTTATTCCCAGACCTTACTGGCAAGTTCTGTAGATACAGATGTAACATGTAAGTTTGAGTAACTAATCTCTCCTTATAACACTGCTACAGTTTAGTCAGGGCTGAATCTAGCCTTTAGGCTGTGTCCTGAACTCTTTTCTCTCAAAGTCAAATATTTTTAGCTTTTATTGACCTGACCAGCTGACTCTGCTCAGCATTTGTTTTTGGTCAAGTGCACTCCTCCCCTGTACATTTAAACTGACTGACCAAAGAAGTTGTGTTCTTCAGACATGAAATGAATTTTTATTACTGAAGTCCACAGTGCAGAACATTGGAAGTTATGTAATAATGTGAAAGGACATATAATTGAAAGGCTGTCAGAAGATGAAAGCGTACTAAGCTTCCCAGAGCATTCACATTTGCAACTCATGAAGCCTGATGACACTGAAAAAGCAATTCATTGTTTAATGCATGCACCTCTGGTGGCAGCGCTCCTCCTCAGCGCTGGCTGTTGAAATATCACAGTCTCTAGCATAGGATTTAATACAGGAGTTTTCCATTAAAGATGTTAGCTGTTGCAGTTCACAATAACTTCTAGCTCAGCTCACCTGCTGGGGACACAGTACTTTGTCCTTGAGTAAGCAGGATTGCTTTCATCCTATTCTTCTCACTGGAGCAGAGAGGAAGTAGAGTGTGAGTACACATGGAGCAATGTACAACAAGGGAGTAACTGCAATACAGGCATATATTATTATTGTATTTGTTTTAAATGTCAAGCAATAATACATGTGAAATAAAAGTAAGTCCGTAACTATCCTGACATTCTCCTAAATGTGCAGTAAAACAAATAATAAATAATAAAACTGTAGGTTACACGAATCAAATTCAAATCAGTTCAACTGCATAATTTTCAGTGAAGACATGCTGATGAAACACAGAATAAACTGCAGAAGGGAAGGTTCATTGCTTCCTAATCAAAAGCAATCAGGTTTAAACACCAGCCAGTCAGGTGATAGGTTTGTCATTTCTCAGCTGTGCTCTTGGAGGGAATTTGCCAAGAAGGCTTGACAGCCTTTAAACTTTGCAGAGCATTTTTTGCCTGTTTCCGAACATCATGTTGATCTACAAAAACTCCTAGGAAACTGGGAGGAGAGGCAGAGTAACAGCAGTTCTATTAAAATATATTTGCTGCAATGAATTTCAATCAGAGTTTATAGTGTGAAAAAATGTGCATTTTCAGAAGAGAAATTTTCACCACCCCTGATTCTTTCTTGTCTAATTCTGTCCAGCTACTTTTGGGGACTGAGGAGTGTCAATCGTTAATTACTTGAGTGTCAGAGAAGTAAAGGCTTGTAATGCATCACTAAAAGCCAGAAATCAAGGTGCCTGAATTATGATGGGAAGCTTTAAATGAATATATTACTGCTACATACAGTTAACAGCCCAAGCCAGAAATCATTTACTTTCATAATGCAGAACAATGACAGCTCTCCAGTAAAAACATATTTACAGTAGTTTTACATTGCTTTCTAGAAGTTTCGTACGAAAGGGTGAGACAAAAATTAATGTGCACCAAGGCAGTTACAGAGAACCCTGTCTTTGTACTGTTCTTTCCTTTTAATCAGCATAAACTCTGCTAAATAGGGGAAAGAATTATGAGTAGGTAGCAAGCATCTAGGTTGCTGAGGGCAAATCACCCTCAGGGGAATAACCTTGCAATTTGAGCAACAGAGTCTGGCCTTTACATGACTTAAGATGAACAGGTCTTCTCTGTTTTAACCCAGCAGGAACAGCAATTGCAAGGCAGCCAACCTGAAGTCCCTCAACCACCTTTTCTTACATGAACAGAAGGTCTGTTCTCCCTTCCTCTGGCAGTTATACCACTGTGCTGGAAGAATTTTCTAGTGTCTTCTATTTCTATTTTCTAATGTCTTTTTAACGTCTTTTTAGTGTCTTCTGTTTCACATCCTCAAGTATGGGACCTTACATATGTTGTAGTAGTTTTTGGTATTGGTTGAAGTCCCATTAAGCTTCTGAAGTTCTTAAATTGCTTCTTGGAGGCTTTGTTTTTTTTTCATATAACTTAGATTATAAAAGTAGCACCATAAACATTAATTGAAGAGCCATTAAGCAGTATGGCTGTTTGTTTTGGGTTGACAGAGGACATAAAGCTTCATACCCTGTGGTGGAAAACAATTAGATCTGATGATGAACATGCTATTAAATATACCATTTCCAGACTTCTATCAGTTTAACTTTAGAAAATAGCAACCAGCTGTAGCCAAAGCATACACAAGTGATAGAAAGTCATATTTTAATTGTCATGTCATAGCCTGTTATAAATATTGTCTTTTCTAATGTTTTATGCTAATGACAGTGACTAATAGTAGTCATTACCTCGATTCATTCTCATAAAAATTTCCTCGAGAGGATGATCACAACTAGAATGCTGTTTAAAATAAAACATTTTTCTAAAATAGAGAACATAAAAAACATTTAAATACCAAGAGGTTGGCTAGCTAATTTATTTTGTAATAGCATGTGTTCAACAACTACAGCTTTTGTTAATTGTGCTATCAGTTGAACAGATATTCCTTTCACAAACATTTTTGGCATACTAACGTGTGTACGTGTCATGTCTTCATATGGTCTCTGAAGAGTGGGATAAAAGGTGAATCTTACAGAGGCCAGAAAAAAAGTCTGATGCTACCCCTGTAGAGGCTTAATATTAAGAACATTGAATTTCCTCATCCATTTCTTATTTCAGTTATGAATTCTGCTTACTTGACAGGTACAGAGTACTTCATTATGTGCATGAACAGAAATGCTTAAATGGATGAAGCAGCTATTTACGTCTGATAGGAGCTAAGTGGGACATTAAATTAATGCCAAACAAGTGAGTGCTCATTTTAGTTTCGTTATAAATGGCTGCAGCACAGCAGTAATGTGTTGACTCTTATGTGCTGACAAGTTCTATATTTCTTACAAACTTCCTTAGAGCTCGATGTGGAAAGACAAATTCACACTCTGCATGATGAAATTAGCAGCAGATGCATTAATAATTGAATAAGGATCTCTGGAGACATACCACAGTTCAAAAGGAGAATTGTTGCCAGGCTGGTTTAAGTAGTGGCTTCTGTCGTATATATATGCACTTACATAAGCTCCGAGTTAAGAGCTGCTGCCTGTATGTAGCCTTTGGTATCAAATCCGCTTCCTGCTTTTGGAAGACTTTGCATAGTTACATTTGACAGGTCCATGAGTAGACTTGACAACCATTAATCTGGGCAGAGTGTGCCCTTGCTCATCCCTCCTTCCTCTCTGACTATTCTGAAATGTAGAGGCAAATTCAACACAGTTCCTTCTGGGTTTTTCTCCAGACATGGAGTGGGGTATGAGTGACTGAAAGACTTCCACTGTATACCAGACTCTTGCATTAGACCTCCATTCCTGTAGGGTTGAAAGTTTCCCGAAGTGCAGATCTCAGCTTCTCTCACAGAAGGATTAGACCAATGGCATCCTGGCCTGGATCAGGAACAGTGTGGCCAACAGGTCCAGGGAAGTAATTCTTCCCCTGGACTCAGCACTGGCAAGGCCACACCTCGAGTACTGTATCCAGTTCTGGGCCCCTCAGTTCAGGAAGGACATTGAGGTGCTGGAGCAGGTCCAGAGAAGAGCAGTGAGGCTGGGGAAGTGACTTGAGCACAGGTCCTGTGAGGAGAGGCTGAGGGAGCTGGGGTTGTTCAGACTGGAGAAGAGGAGGCTCGGGGGAGACCTCATCACTCTCTACAGCTCCCTGAAAGGAGGTTGTAGCTGGGTGGGGGTTGGTCTCTTCTCCCAGGCAACTATCAGTAAGACAAGAGGGCATGGTCTCAAGCTGTGCCAGGGAAGGTTTAGGTTAGATATTAGGAAGAAATTCTTTACAGAGAGGGTAATCAGACATTGGAATGGGCTGCCCCGGGAAGTGGTGGATTTACTATCCCTGGAGGTTTTTAAGATGAGACTGGATGTGGCACTTAGTGCCACGGTCTAGTAACCACGGTGGTTACTAGTGGATCAGGGGTTGGACTTGATGATCTCGGAGGTCCCTTCCAACCCAGCTGATACTATGATTCTATGATTCTATACCGTACTGCCATCTTCCTTTCCAGCAAAGGTGATCTCCTTTGATTTAAACACATAAACAGGTTTGGGAAGGAAGGAATTTCACAGAATCACAGAATGGGTAAGGTTGGAAGGCACCGCGGTGAGTCATCTGATCCAACTTCCCTGCTCAAGCAGGGTTTGTCCTAGAGCACATTGCGCAGAGGAGCCCAGAACGGGACACAGCACTCCAGGTGAGGCCTCACCAGGGCTTAGTAGAGGGGCAGGATCAGCTCCCTCGACCTCCTGGCAATGCTTTTCCTAATGCACTCCAGGCTACTATTGGCCTTCTTGGCCACAAGGGCACACTGCTGGCTCAATTTGAGTCTTTTTGACAATAGCGAAGAAAACAAGAGGATTGCCAGAAAAAAACTCTTGCTTTTTAAAGATACCACCAAGGCCAGCCGCGATGCAATTCCTAATAGTTACATTGTGATCATTCCTAACACCAAGTAATATTACGCTCAGAAGATATTGACAAAACAGAGTGACATTTCACAACACTACTATTGGAGCAAATTCTCATCGGTTTAAAATCAAACTTTATTGCACTAGTGCCAAGAGAGTTATAGCAATTTGAATAGTCTGAAAATTTGTCCCAGTTAGAAGAAGAGTGGCAAAATTTAGCACACTGTTATTGTACTAACTCCACATAGCTCTCCCAACTATCCATGCAGACTTCAGCCACTGGTTTTGATCTGCACAGGTTGAAGTAAATTCTGTGTTTTACTTTCCTCCAGTTACAGGTTATTATATAAATCTCAGGATTGAGAAGACAGAAAAAATAGCTAAAAATAAATACCAGTGTATTGTATGGAGATTCATCCTAAAGGAAAGCTTATTGTAATCTTAGGTTTTTTAATATATTGCAATATTTTGCATAAGCTACCATATGATTTAATAAAGTGGTACTGTCTTTAAAACAATACTCAAGACTCAATTGTCTTTAAAACAATATTTCAATTCCTTTTATTTAGATATGCAACTCTTTTTATTCAATAACAGTGCATATGTTATTTATTCAGTAAGAGTTTGGTATGAACCTTGTCGTAATAGTAATATTGAATTGGAGATCTTTTTAAGTATGAGAAACATTTAAACAGTTTCTGTTGTCACTTGAAATAGGAGTTAAGTCCCAGAGATTCATATTTGTATAATGAAGTAATGTCTCCATCTATTAGACACCCTGAAACATCCTGCAAGGGGCTCAGCTGAGGAAAGAACAGTACACATTTTGCTTTGTGATATTGGACCACAATACAGATGTTAGAGATCAGAGACTATCAGATGAAGGAGTAAGCATGCTAAAATAATACCCTGGTTTCAGCATAAGTCGTCTTTTGGGGTGCTTGAAACAAAGATGTGAAAATTAAACTGGATTTACATAAACATTTTTATTAAACAGAGATACCATTTCAGAATTAATATTGTTCTTTAGATTCACACATGTATAATACATTTCATTGCTGTTGAAAAAAGTAATGTTACCATAATCTGAGTTTTTAAGGGAAAGACTAAATACCTAAACAAGGTCATGAACTGCTAGATGAGAAGAATATATGTGTATTACATAGACCAAAGAAAGTGCATTGAATGGGACAGGGGGAGTGAGATCACAAGTCATTAACTATGGCTTTATGCTTCACAGTGGGTTTAATCTTATTAACTGCTTTCCATTCATTCTGTTATTTCCATGGAATAAGATTTTAAGTCTGCTCCAGGTTAAAAGTGAATATTATGAAATCCAGTAAGTTCTGTACCTATTGTTAGCATATACAAGGCACATCAGTGGTGCCAATATTTATTCTTAACATTCTGAAGTAATCACGAAATTTCACAACTCTGGGCAGTCGTCACTGCTATAAAAGCAAAGAGATATTTCTAAAGCTGTCTAGTGAGTGAATAAACCAATGGCTTTTATCCAGATTTTGCAGGTCACTGGATGTTCAAAACAGCAAAGCAAATTAAAAGAATCCCTTCTCTTTTGCTGTCACAGTAATTTTGCACTTGAGTATATGATGATGTGCTAATGTAAAAGCTATTGAGGAAGATATGGAGGGATCTTCTTCTAACACTGCCTTGAAAGGCAGAAATAAATGTTGCATTTCAAATCACAGCTCTCCTTGAAATTTGATTTCATTTTAAAAGGCATCTTAAGCACAACATTTTTGTCCCTTGGTAACTTCCAGTCAGATGAGAGTCCACATAGAAGTAAAAACATAAATTTCTAATTGTCAGTCCTGTAACCTCAACCTGAAAATCAAGTGGCTACTTTTTGATTTATGCCTCATCACTATTATTTATGCTTCTGCAGGCCAGAAATTTTTTCCCCCTCCTACATTCACAACCTTCTAGTCTTCATAGTTTTCCTCAGTTGCCCCTTTCTCTTATTATTATGTCTCTTTCAAATTGTTGCCCAGCTGTGTTTAGATGCACCATTTGTTGGAATAAGTTTGTAAGGCTGTTAGTACTCAATTCCTGTATTTGTACTGTTCTACGGATTTCCCAGAAGAATAAATCATTCCTTAGACTTGATATGTGAAATGAGAGGAAAAAAAACTGACTTTTTTTACGTGTTTTTCTGAACTTGAACAAGATTATGGAGAATCTGGTAAATGCTGCACCCTCCATAAGTACTCTGTTGAGAACAACCTGTAGGAATGGCCAACACAACTGAAACAGAGTAAAATGCTGCAGCAGCAAAGTATTGCAGAATATCAGGTCTTTTCTTGGGATCTCTTGAGATGACAGACTAAGCGTGGGCAGCGTCCATAGAGAGTTCTAGTCTACTGTATTCAAGCAAAACAAATACATAGAGAGGGAGTCACTGTGGATTTCCAGATTACCCTCTGAGGGCTATGATAGCTGTGCTGAGCTGGCAAAGCCAAAATTTCAACACAGAATTCTCAACAGAATGTATTTGATTTCTTTCTAGCCCACCCTGAAAAGAGAAAGGGCAGATGTTTTGGTGTATTCTCTGTAAACCTTCTTTGAATTTAAGAAATTGGATGGGATGCCAACTACACAGTATGATCCAAGCTTTTGCAGAAAATTATACCCCTTCATTCATCCCAGCAAGTAATACAATAATTCTACTTCTTCTCCTTCTGCTATTTGAGAAAGTAGGACCTATTTTTTGAATGTCCCATATGAGAAGTGCAGCCTTTTCTGATTATAGAAAAAGATGTTTATTTTTACCAGCTTTTCCATTTTACTTTCCAGTCTACTGAAAGAGACCTTCCTCTCCCTTCATGGTTTTCCTCAGTCCCCTAACATTTCTTAATCCAATTAGTGTTGCCACCTTTCTTGCTTCCTTTCTGTCTTTCTGATAATGCATATATATTGCACAGGATGTCTCCTGAGTTTGGAATTAAAATGTCTTTTTTGAACTTCACTGTGAAAAAATGTCTAAAATTGGGCAATAACACATGAAGTTCCAAAGTCTTCTGTAATGCACAGTTGACCAGCCATTAAAGAAATAGATTTTTTCTTCAAGGTCTCACTTAGGGAGCAGAGCTGCTACTGCTGGAACAGTAAACCCAATTTTGTCTTTTAGATACCCTTCTGAAATGCCTGTCTCCCACATAGCTGCAGTTTCCTGTCCTTTCTGTTACCCTACCTTTGCTAATCATGGCTCCAGTGGAGTTGATATGAGATGTGCACATAGGTTTTTGCAACCTAATAATGCCAGTCTTCATGGGACTGTGAAGAAAATTAAGCAGACAGAACCAGCACACAGTATAAATAGATTGTGGTTACAATTCTAATCCAGGCTGGAGATTCAGTCCATGCACTTTCATCCTCTTGTTCATTTCATGGCTAGGCTTCGTGAACGAAGATTTGGGAGGGGCACTACTCACGTTTGTTGCAAGCGCGTTGGTAGCTAAAAAGGCCAATACAAGATAGACAAGTCTGGTTGCAAAAGGCACAGCAGAAAGAATCCTTAGGTGGTATATTCTGCAAGGCACGATTCTTTCTGCATTGTCGTTTCTCCTCAAGAGTGATCCTGCGTGCTTTCTCAAAAGCATCAGCAGCGTTATAGATGGTGTGTCTCCAGACCTCCCAGTTGGAGGCCAGAGTAGACCAGTTATGTTGATCGATATGGCCAAGGCTGAGATGTTGTTTCAAGGAGTCCTTGTATCTTCTCTTTGGGGCTCCTCTCTTGCGGCAGCCAGTGGCAAGTTCACCATAGAGCAGGATCTTAGGGAGGCGGTGGTCCTTCATCCTTGAGATGTGTCCTGCCCAGCGCAGCTGTGTTCTCAGCAACATGGCCTCAATACTTGTGATTGCTGCTTGTTCTAGAACAGATGTATTGGTCACATAATCTGACCAGTGGATGTTTAGGATTGTGCAGAGACAGCATTGATGGAAGCGTTCTAGGAGACGCAGGTGGTGGCGGTAGATGACCCATGATTCAGATCCGTATAAGAGAGTAGACAGCACTATGGCTCTGTAAACACTGGTCTCTGTACTTTTCTTCAGGTGTTTATTTCCCCAAACTCTTTTATGAAGCTTTCCGAAAGCACTGTATGCCTTTGCTAACCTGTTGTCTATCTCTTCATCAATCTTACCATCCAAGGAGATGAGGCTGCCTAGGTAATTAAACTGCTGGACTGATTTGAGTTCTGATTGGCCAATGGTGATATGGGGATGATGGAAAACTTCCTGAGATGCTGGTTGATAGAGAACTTCTGTCTTCTTTAAACTGACTTCCAGCCCAAAGAGCTCAGCAGCGTCTGCAAAGCAGGATGTTAAATGCTGCAGAGCTGCTTCTGTGTGGGCCACAAGGGCGGCATCATCAGCATAAAGCAGCTCCCGGACAAGATGGTTTGAGGTCTTAGTGTGGGCCTTCAGTCGCCATACGTTGAAAAGGCTTCCATCAGTACGGTATCGAATGTAGATACTGTGCTGATCATCGAGGTCTGCCGTGGCCCTTTGGAGCATCACACTGAAAAAGACTGTGAATAGGGTTGGAGCGAGAACGCAGCCTTCTTTTACACCATTGGTTATTAGAAAGGGCTCAGAAAGTGCATTGCCATATCTGACTCATCCTCTTGTAAAGTAATATTTAATATGCATCTCCACAGATGTAGGCTCTGAATGTCTCCTCTAATGTACTTCCAAACATGTCATTTTAAGATGACTATTTTTAACAAAGTGCAGTAAAGGACTTTCAAAAGATAATTACAGGTTCAAAGGCTTCAGTTAGGACAGCAATTCCTGAGTACAAGCAACTGAATTCTCTTAGCTATTCGCTAGTCAAATGCACTAAGAAAGTTAGAAGGGGAGGAATCTCAAGATGGAAATGAAAGTTGGAAACACAAAACAAGAGAAGATGGAATACTTTTTTTCTCTGAAAAATAAAAAACTGTGTGTCTCTGGTGCTACCAAGCAGGTCCAACTGAAATTCAGGCAAGGGGCAAAGGATACTGTGCTTTCATGACAGTGCTTGCATAGAAAGTACCCATAAAGGCTCAGGGAATACCAGTTGCTTCAAAATCAGGTGACAATGCAGACTTAACACGATGACTTGGAGCAGCTCCTGCAAATTCCTGTGCCCAAACATGAACAGAAAGCTAGATGTTAGCCCAGGAAATTTTCTTGCCCGGGCAACAGATTTTGTAACAGATTTTATGCCTATATGAAGTTAAAGCCTTCAAACTGAACCTAGCTTTTGGCTTGTTTGCTTCCCTTTAAGCAGTGGTCACGTAACAGGCTGGTAATGAACGCATCATATCCCAGAGTATTAAAATAGGCAACAAATTATTAGTGTTTATATAAGTAAGAAATAACACAGGTTGGAATCACTCTTTTATAAGGGTTAAAAACTAAAACCATTAGCATGAACCACGCTCATCTCTCAGGAAATGGAGCACAGGATAAATACGATGTGTGTTGGGAGTGCACTATATATTCACCTTTCACTTTTGCATGGTAGATTTGGTGAAATAAGCAATTAACACTGGTAAACTGAGGACTTCTTGCAAATGATGCTATGGACCCAGGAAGAGATGGCCTGTTGGATAACCAGTCCCAAACCTAAGCTAAGGTGAAAACTTTGGAATATCAGCGGGTTACAAATGTAGGAATAGGTTCCTAGGAAATAATAACTGTGCCAACAGAGAAAGTTCCTCCCCTAGCTCAGGAATTTGATGTCTCATTTTCGTCTTAAAGGGGAAGAATTTACTTTTCCTTTTTATAAAATGTCACATTGTTTTAGAGTTCGTGTGAAATGTTAAGAAGAGTAGGTTCCTCTAGAAGATTACAATGGGGTTTGCTGTGTTCATTCTTATTGACGGGTTAGGGAGTAATGTTTTCACAGGAATAATTGTTGTTCCCATTGCACATAAACACATATTTATGATATGTATTAGATGCAATTCAGTTCAGTGCTTGCTAGTCATTAGGCTTAGTGACTTGTTCAAGCTCATTTTGCATTTTTTAAAAAAATTGTTTTCCTCTGAACTCTTCTGGTTTTGCTTGTTTCAAAATTAAATTAATAGTAAGATTTTCATCAATAGGGAGCACTGACAGTTTAGCCACTAGAACTTTGCGTGTATTTTATATGCAGATTAAAGGACATTTTTGGGCTATAAATCAATCTAATATTGTAATTGTGCTTCCCATTCAACTGTTCACTGTTTCTTGGACATCTGTTATGCATTGAGCAGCTGCTTCTATTGGGATGAACACAATGGCTTCTAAATATTATTTATGAATCCAATGAATTTAAATTCAAGGAATATATATTATAATCCAGATTTCTGAAGTACATCTTTCCATGTTTTGTCAAAATGCATGTTTGCATATCAGTTATTTCTCAGTTGCCCACTTTAACATAAGCTCTGAAATTTCTTAACTGTCTTTTCAGATCTATCCTACTTATATTTTTGTGTACTTCCTATATTGAAATTTCACTTTCAGTCATATTCTCATACCTCAATGAAAGTATATTCAGCCTCAAACTTTATATGAATACCAAGGTGGTATTGTCTTTTACGTGAATATTAGACTTTTAATATGGCTTTCCACTCATTCCTATTGCTTGTTATCAGTCTCATCCAGCTTTTTAACTTCTTACAATCAACCTTGGTCCAGAGATATTTTCAAGTTATGACAATAATGACACAGTACAGAGAGCAAGATTTTTTTTATGACTGGTTGTTTAATTGGTAGTTGAGTGGAAAGTATTTTGAATACTTTCTATGAGATCTGTATCTATGAAACAAGAAAGACTTATATCTCTGCAGAGCACCACAGAAGAGGGTACAAGGACCGTGAGACTTCTGCAGACTCATCTAATGCATCATATAGTGACACTGGAAAAAAAGATCCTGAATTAGACAGAAAAATGTTATCTATGTCTGCTGTTCTTGTGGTCCAGACCTCTTTCTCAGAATTTCTACTCAGTCTGTACCCCAGAAATATTTTCTGTAATATTGTAGTATGTTTAGCATTCTCTTAAATATTCTTCTGAGTAAAAAACTGTTAATTTACAAATATTTGTGAACTGCAGAAAATCATTCAGCTCATCCCAGTATATGTGGATTCAGCTGGCAGAATGAGTAAAGTGTTACAATACCATGGAAAATAATTCACTTAGAGAATATAATGTATATGCTTCAGAGGTACCTCAGTAGCATACTGCATATGCCTGTCCTATCAACAAAAGGGCAGATATTTCCATCACATGGAAAATGATTGGCACAACTAGCTCTCTGTGAGAATCTGAAAAAGGAACAGCAAAACTGATTTTGTCAAGAACAAAAGGAGAATGAAGGGCAACACAAGAGGAGACAATAATACATTTAGGCATTTACTTAAAAAGATTTGAATGATCCTGATCTGAGCAAAGGACAGTTAAGAGTGATATATGTAATTACCCTGAAAAATAAATATGAGAACTCATTTAAGCTTTTTACTAAAACCGCAAAGGCTTGACTTACCATAAGCTATAAAAGATGTCATTAAATCATCAGCCTTTAAGAATAACTGCCTGTTGTGGTTTCTGAGATGCTCCTTTCTCTACCAGTACTCTGAGTAATTGTGTACAACTCCAAGAACTGATACCTGTAAGGAAGTTCCAGTGTCAGACAGACAAAGAAAGTAAAATATAAAAAAAGCTAAGCAATCCTGTTCACATCAGTGGGTCTTATCAAAGCTGTATAGGTTGTAAGATTTGTCTCTGAAATCATACTATGCTAAATATGAGAGTACAGAAGACAATTTAATAAATGGGCTACATCGAGTCAGTTAATTGGTGTTCTGTGGAGTGTAGTCTGTGTACCAATAAAAATCTCCATGATTTTTATTAATTCTATTAAAGTAGCACGTCACCTCCAAATATTTACAGAGATCAAACAGACTCACTTCAGGACAAGTCCTTCATACATACCAGAGGTACTATTTCCTGAAATGTAAACAGTTGGCATCTGCTGAACCCTAATCCCTAAATCAGAAACATAAATGTTTGGATTAACAAAAAATGGAAAGCCTTACTCTTTGTTGTTGACCTCCTAGTAGATATTTTTTCGCTTTCAATGTTAGGTACATGACTAGCGTTCTTTATCCAGGACTGGAAATGAAGTGACTTTTTGGCGCAGTAACTTTTTGGCATAATGACCACAAAGGACAGCAATGATCAAATTCAAGCCAACACAAACCCTCATGGATGCTCGCCAACTTCAGGAGATTTGAAATCAAGCCTTCAGTTCAATGTTACACACGTGATGCAGCTGTGTGATGATGCACATGTGATGAGGCAAGTGAGATTTCATAGTCTTAAGAATCAGAGAAATAAAAGGATATTTATTTTACCCCTTTAAAAGAGCATATGGATCTGATACCAGAAAAAGTTGAGGAAATATAAAACATAAGCTTATCATTGAAATCTGTTTGGTTTTTCTACACAGAGAGTTTTAGCACCCCACTGCACCAGAGACAAAGTGTTTAATAACTGTTAAATGTTTTAGCACAGACCTGGAATTGCTGTCTGTCATATTTGCAGTGCATATATATGTAATACAGAATGCAAATATACAGAATATTCCATTGTACAAAATAAAGCTATAACAATGAGCAAACTGCTTAAACCATAGTGCTCAGGGAATGAAATTTGAAATTCTTTTCCATAGTTTATTTTTGGACAGTGTTTTTTCCGGAAGAGATTAAATACAGAGCTGCTGGAGAGCACTGAGAAGTTGGGAAAGAATGAGAATGAGGATGTAGGTGTTGGTGCTGAGGACCCAGGGCACAAGCAGTGATCTTGGAAGTTCTGCCTCTTCTGTTTTGTGCTGTGGTTTTAGGCTGTACAGATCCCAGTAGGACAATCCATAATTAAGTCGGGGTTTAAGGGCTTTCAGTCTTTCTTTTCTCAAGTCACACTCCAGCCACAGCTCCCAACCTCATGCCAGGGGCTCCAAAAGTTGTTGGAACTTCTCCAGGACCACAGCAGGAGATCAAGGAACTAAGTGCTCCAGGTCAACCTGCCTAGTGAGGGGGGAGTCCTGCAGCCTCTGCTCCTAAAGGTAGTGGATTGGGAACTGCAAATTGGAGCTGTCAGTGATGTCCCTGAACCAGCACTTCTTCAGAGCCTGAGATGCTCACCAGGTGTTGCCTTTGGCAAGATGACAGGGAAACAGTAATATTTCCTCTGAATTCTGCCTCACTTTACACACAGTTGTGACAGGTATTCAGTGTACATTCAATATTTTTTTTGATTCCACATATCTATTTGGCTGGGAAGCAAATTATAAGTAAGTTTCAGAGAAGACTGGAATTGTCCACATAAAAATGTTTGATGCTTTGAAATGGCTACAAAACAATAAAAAATAAAATCAGTAAAATACACCTACATACAATTTCAATTGTTTTAATAAGTTCTTTTCATGTTCTATTTTCATGTTATTAATTTCTGGAAAAAATGAATTTCATTATACTCTGTAAGAATAAAGGAAGTCTTTCAAATTTGTTGTTAGGTTATATATTAAATTTTAGGTCTGTGCATTAGAATTTTCATACAACTCAAAATTATCAAAATAATTACTTCTTGTCTATGCAAATATACAGGGTTAGCTTTCATTCCTACCCTGTCATAAGAAATCCAAAATTCTAGGCAGTATAAAAAATGTGCCTTGAATCCTATTGTCAATATTCACCTATTTCCCTTCTTACAACAGAATGTAATTTTGACAGACAACCCTTTAACCCTGGGGTAAAGGAAAGTAGCTCTTGCCATGTTGAATAATGTGCAAATTTCAGCTGATGGGGATCTATTCTTTGCCTCCAACAGGACAAAAAGCTATTTCTAGTGGTTGTGACTTTTAATATTAATAATTTTAAATAACCCATAAACTGACATAATTCAGGGAGAATCTACTTTTTCTTTACCTTTACTCTTGCCAAAAAGGTCTTAGAAAACAATATCAAATCATATTGTATTACGGCCATCATCTTGACACTAGAATTTACATAGTACAGTGCATTTGTATTTATAGTTTATACAGTAGGACATTTGGCCCTTGCTTTTATTATTCTACTGTCATGTAATTAATATCTTTCCAGATATTGTCACCCTGAGTTACTTACTCACCTGAGCAAGGTCACAAAAGTAAGGCCTGAACCTCTTTCATTGTTGATATGAAATGAATGTAGGAGTTGAGAATGCTGCTCTGGCTGTGGGTGTCTGCACATACCCATGTGCCATCCTGGAGTGTGACAGGCTAGCAGGACACAAACATGAGTGAAAAAAATACCTTTGATTTCTGATCTGGGAGATTGTAGCAGCCACAATACTGGCATAGAGCATCTCAAACCTTGGATCATCTCAAAACTTGGAAATTAGTCTCTGTTGCAGAATGTTATTTGTACTTCATGCAAGGATAAAAAGAGTTCTTCCTAATTTCACAAAATGCAAAGTATGGACAATCACAGCCACCATTAGTAGGATCTCTTCAGGTTCTTACCTTTGTTGTTGTTGTTTGAATTTTTATTTGTGAATATTAAAGCCACATTTTTTGTGAAAAACTTATGAATAATATTTGTAGAATTGCAAGTGTACCTTGGAATTCTTATTCATTTGTGTTTTAAGTAGCCAAGTTTATTTCATCATTATTGTGCAGTTTGACTACCAGTATTCATAAGGTGTACCTGCATGCCACTTTGATGAGTACTGCAAGGTTAGCAAGTACCCAGCAGGAATTAAAAGACTTGTCTTTTATCAAAAGGGGTCAGTGATCATGGACTGCTTCATTGCTTATTAAAAATAAAGTAAATTTGCATCAAATAAAAGTAAATACGAGTATCTAGTGGCTTTCCAAGCAAGCATAAAGTGGGATTTGGAGAATTGAGTCTTAAGAAACTTGCTTGACATCTAACTTCAAACAAAAATTGGATATGTAAATTGGGTATGTCTTCTTGCTACCAGGAAATCTATCCAGCTACCGGGAAAGCTCAGTCCTATAGGATACATGTATAGTTAATGTTTTAAGAGAAAAGGCTGAGCTACCTAATCTTTGAGAAAATTTCAAAAAAACCCAAAATTTTAAAAGGCAGAAAAGAAATCAGAAGGAAAAAAAAAGGGGGGGGGGAAGGAAAAATAAGAAAAACCTCAATGTTATAATCCATTAATAAAATTAAATTAGTTTTCATGGGTTTATCTTACTGGTAAATATTTAGGGGCACAAAAAATGTTTCATAAACACAATGAGATTTCCTCTCATGTAAAATCCCTGTCCTTTCTTCAAGGACCTGGCAAGAAAACTGAGTTTTCTACCTAAATTTTACTTTCCAAAGTAAAAGTCAGAATCTTCCAAAAGTAAAGCTGTCATTAATTACTGTTGTCGAAATGACACATCTCGATTTTACACAATTGTTTAATTAGACTTCACTCTTTCTTCCTTCTCATTTTGAATGGTATTTGTTATTCTGTGGACTTTGTTTTCACAGTTCCATGAAAACAAAACATAAAATCAATTATGCTGAAGTTTATGTAGGCTTAATATTAGGAAAAAAGGCAAAGTGCCTAGTCCTGCTGTTGATAAAATGTGTTTGTGTAATTCTCCATGTAGCACTTTGAATAAGGTAACTGACAGCAATCTCAATCTGAGAAGAGGAAGAGCCATATGGCTCCATTGTATGGGTGGCTGGTTTTATAACTTAAAACAATACTTTCATGATCCTTAAACAGATTCAGATTACCACATGTAGATGGGCAAAGTAGCCATGCACAGTGCTGGGGAGTTCCGTTTTTTTATCCATGTACTGTCCTGTTAGGAAAGCATGCCAAGGATTGCAGTTTATCAAGAAAGAGGAGAAATACTTCCCCCAAGGAATCTCTAGGTTCAGCAGGAGGTTCTCATGGTTTGTGTGGTTACTTGAGGTTAGACTACATAATTAGTTCATACATGTAATCTTTAGTGCCTCTTATAAGAATGCCCTTGAAGGCAACCCCAGGCAGAACAGGACAGTGGATGGTGATGTGCCACACTGCTATTTCAAATATGTAGACACTAGAAAAGGTTGTAAATTCACATTTTGGTGACTATATGTGTGTGTACATGTGCCTGGCAAACCCCATGTGTATCCATATGAATACTAGATCTCTGAAAGGTTCTTAAATTACTTGCTTTGGCATTGCTACTTCCTTTTGATACTGAGCTGTCTATATGAATTGAAAGTGAGAAAATAGTACAGTATCTAGCTTCATTGTAAACCCTTCCTGATTGATGACTTGCCTTCTCCTGGGACCCAGCATTATAGCAGAAACCAACTGGTATAATCTGCAGCTAAAACTACTTGTAGGAGTTCTGTGTCTTTTCTAGGAAAATGTATTTTTCATCAATACTAATGTTCAGGCTCAGGAAAAAAATGTATCTAAGGAGGTGTGTTATACACAGAACTTTAGGCTATTGCTCTTCTTGATGATACTAATCTCTGTTTTCCTACAGAGAATCATGTGAATTGTTACCTGTCATTGCATCCCCATGTTCATCTCTTAATGCTTATGGGTGTGTTACAAACCACTTAAAAGAAATTCACTGCCCAGACTAGGCAGTTTCCTCTGTTACAACAATATGTTTTTCCTATTGTGTCTTTTCATTTCATAAGTGCTAATAGAGAGATTCTTACCTAGGGCTTTTAAAACACTTACTGATCTACACAGACAGGAAAAGTAAACAACAGTTAAGAAATTACTCTGATAGATAGACCAGTCTCTCAGGAGGCATTCATAACATCGACACCAATGCTGAGTTATTCTCTCTCAGGAGCACCATTAGCAGTCATTTTATCACCACCAAGTGTGTATGTAATTCTACAACATCAGTACCAAGGCTGGGCACTTCTCCTGGTCAGAGATTAAACTGTAGGCAAAACCACTTCGCTGTTGAAAAGAAAGTAGAAACCAGCCTAAAGCGCTAAACTTGCAGTTTAAAGTCCCATTAATATGGACACTTACAGATAACAGAATTAAATTGTGAACACAAGGGAGTAGTGTACTAACTTATTTTTAATTGTATACAAAGGGACAGCTTGTGTCTTATTTTTTTGTTTGATTAATAGTTTATATTGGTTTGAGTCTGTTTTAATCCCGACTTAGCCACAAAAGTAATAGTTTTGAGGACACATTGTCACTATAGATGTAAGTTGGATGTGAACTATGAGTGGGATGCTATTTGAAGACAAATGTAATCTTCATAAGAGTAAATAAGTAAATAGTATTCAGACATTGGCACAGATTTTTTATTCACGACATTTGTGAAACTTACTGGAAAGCCATATGACACTATGGTTTGTGAAAAATCAAAAAGATGTACAGAAAAAAGTTCTTAAAATTAGGGAAAATGTACCAATACTGAAACACAAAATAAATTCTTAGCTATTGATTCAGTCAAGAGAGGATTGAGAAGTAACTTGACTACAGCCTTCAGGTACCTGCAGGCAAAAAGGATTTTTGACAGTTAAGAGCTCTCTAATTCAGGAGTAAGGAATGTGTAATTAGCTGGAGCCAAGAATTCCAGTCTGTTCCCCCCTCAACAAATTAACAATGAGAGCTTTAAACCATTGGAGCAATCTCTATCGGTCAGAAAGATATCCAACATCTCATACAGAAGCTGCAGAGGCTGGTATTTTGGGACCATGCAGGAGGTTAGACTAGACAATAATGTATAACTTTTTCTGCTCTTAATATGTATTTCTGAATTCAAGAATCTAAATCAATAAAAATTAAAAAGGTCAACAGAATCTGGCCCTCAGTCATATATATTTTATCATTTAATTACATTTCCATTTGAGGGTTATAATTCAGTTCTCTTATGACTTCATCTCAGAAACTTTTCTGCAGGATCCCAGAAATAGAGTCTTTCTTATTCTCATGATTAAACTTTCAACCAAATAAAAGCTCTTCAGCTTGTGACTCTGCATTAGCATGTGAAAAATTTAAATAAACATTGTTTTAGCTTCTTTTGTTGTGAGTGAACACAGCGATGATACAGCACACAAAGTGTTAATATCTGTTATAGCCCTTGAGCTATACAATTGTGTGGTTTTGTTTTGATCATGCTTGATGTGCTGTGTCTTGACTAGGTCTTCTTTCATTCTATTTCTACAGGTTAGTGAGACTTTAATCAAGAAAAAAAAAATCTAATGAACAGCAATTGGAAACACAGCACTTGGAAAGGTCAAAATGGTACATTACATCCTTATTATCCAAAAGAACAGATGAGTTTAATATCCTGGCAGAATTTTCCTGTGAAGAAGATATTAAACAAGAACTGAAAATGACACAAGGTTCCCTCTTCCTTCCTAAGATTGTAACAAGATGATGAAACTATACAGAATAAATCTCTTTCTGCTTTAATGATCAGGCTGTGGATTCTGTCTAGATTTCAAAAGCCTAAGCCAGCCAGTCAACACATGCTGTATGGCTCAGGATATTTACAACATTCTTTCCTGCTTATATGACCCATTTTCCATTAATATTTTCTAGTCTTAAACGTCTTAAAGATATGTTAACAGAAGGTACACAGTACAATAAGTTTTGCCACATACATGAACTGCAACAAAAAATGCACTGCATCAGCACTGCTCAAAAGGAGGTTTTTCAGCTTCTGTTTGAATAATCTAACAGCAAAGATAATGTATTCCAACACACAACACATTGCATATATCCTGCTTTGGAAAGTCCCTGAAGATATGGAACTATTTGAAGGCAAAGGAATTTGTAGTATATCCCATAGGTTATTAACAATTTGATTAATATAAGAACTGCTAGCTTAAATCACTACCTGCATGAAGACTCTTCTTTTTATAGGTATAAGGGGAGAAAAAACCTTCTAGAACTGAGTGTTGTATTTTAATGCTAAAAAACATCACCAGGGCCCTCATGTAAAATATTATTATAGCAACTGAACAAATCCTGTGCTTAAAAATAAAAAAATTTAGTATAAGATATGCACCTGTATTAGTATTATTACAAGTTAGATATTAAAGATATTAATAATTATTAAAGAAAACATTTTATATTATTCCAAAAGATAGAAGAAGGCTTGAAGTATTGCTAGCTGAAGTAGACCTACATGGATTTGGACAAGCTCACAATTAGAAATCATGCCAAACATCTTTTTCCCACACTATCTAGAGAATATAATTGAATAAAAATACTTCTCCATGATACATTACATGCAGCATCTAGCTGAGAAGAGCTATTCTGCTTTGGTCAAGAGAGAGAAAATGAGCATATCCAAAATATGTTTTCAGTATCAAATGAATGTATATGTATGTATGTATATACTTGATCTTTTTCTTTTCCTTTTCCTTAGGTGTTTTTATTTTTCACTGAAGACTGTAAATGTATTTTTCATCATTTGTTTTGCAACCATAAAGTAGGATAGTTTTTCAATGCATTGGCAACGTGCAACCTATTTTGAAACTTCAAAGGTTTTGCAAAACTACAGACAAAAATCCCTAATGGATGTTCATTTCATAAATGCCTACCAAAATTAATGTTTTCTGTGTGTCTAGAAAAAATCCACTAGATACATGTTTCTATCAAGTTCTTTGTGATTTAGGTAATAGTCCTTGAAACGGGAATGACTACAAATAGCTCTTTTCTGCTTCCTAACCAAATATATCGGTCATCAAATACGCAGCCCACAGAAAATAATAAACAAAACTGGGTTTTCAGTTCCTAATTGTTATTCACAATATAAATATCTGAATTTTTATAATTTGTATTGCTAAGAACTCTTGACCATTTATATTTTTGCTATGAAAAAATAAAGTATATGCTGTTGTATCCATTTTTTAGAAGCTCATGTTTAGGGAATGACTAATTAGGAAAATCCAGGGTGTTGAGAAAGAGACTCAATGTGTAATCATACAAACAATTCCAGGCTTTCTCATAGAGTGAGTCCAATATATCAGATGAAAGCAGTGGGGTTTGTTAAACTCTTTTCAGTTCACTCTTGATTATGCAAAATGCTTTTACCATGTCACACACAATTTAACATGGGGAAAACCTTGAACACGTTATATGTCCTTATTATTCTATGAAATGGATTTTTTTTCCACTAGGTGATCACAGT